GCTGCTGCTGCTGCTGCTGCTGCTGCAGGCAGCGGTGTTTGGCCCGTCTGGCTCTGGAGGCCCCGTGGGTTCGTACCCTGGGGGCCCCTCCCTGGTGGGTTTGGCTCGGACAGCAGCGCAGGAGCGGGAGTACCAGAAGCAGCAGCGGCAGCAGCCGCAGCAGCAGCAGCAGCAGCAGCAGCAGCATCACCCGCATCAAAATCATCATCCCCAACATCAACAGCAGCATCAGCAGCAGCATCAGCGCCAGCAGCAGCACCAGCATCATCCCCAGCAGCACCAGCACCAGCATCAGCAGCAGCAGCAGCAGCAGCAGCAGCTCGAGATGAAAACTGCTGGCAGCAATACTGCAACGGGAAGCCACAGCAGCAGCGTACAACAGTAGCAGCGCTACTAAAGCTCTCAGCAGCAGCAGCAGCAGCAGCAGCATGATGCTGCTGCTGATGCTGCTGTTGATGTTGGGGATGATGATTTTGATGCGGGTGATGCTGCTGCTGCTGCTGCTGCTGCTGCTGAGAGCTTTAGTAGCGCTGCTACTGTTGTACGCTGCTGCTGTGGCTTCCCGTTGCAGTATTGCTGCCAGCAGTTTTCATCTCGAGCTGCTGCTGCTGCTGCTGCTGCTGCTGCAGGCGCAAGGCGGAAGACTCCGAGAGACTTCGCGCAGAGTACCAGCAACTGCTGCAGGGCATGCAGCTGCAGCAGCAGCGGCGGCAGCAGCAGCAGGAGCAGCAGCAGCAAAACTCGCAGCAGCAGGGACAGCAGCAGCAGCAGCGGCGGCAGCAGCAGCGGCAAGGACCCGTGGTGTCTGTGGAGACACTTCAGGCCCTTGCAAATCCCGTGCTGCCTTCTGATATTGTTGAAGAGGTAAACCCTAAACCCTAAACCCTAAACCCTAAACCCTAATTGGTAAGCGCGAAAATCCAATCTTTTGGCGGCACCGTGTCACGCATTTCCGGGTTTCAGGATTCGAAGCTTCAAGGCCTAGGGTTTAGGGTTTAGGGTTTAGGGTTTAGGGTTTGGTTTCAGGCTATTCCTGGCAGCATCAGAAGGGCAGAGCACTTTGTGGCGCTGATGCGGCGAGTTATTGCCTACCTCAAAATCTACATCAAGTACAAGCCCTAAACCCTAAACCCTAAACTCTAAGCCAAACCCTAAACCCTAAACCCTAAACCCTAAGCCTTCGCGGGGTTGCTGCTTCTGCCTGCTGCTGACGCAGGGCCTCAGTTAATTAGTTAGTTTATTTATTTATTATTTTATTTTATTATGTTTATTTATTTGTTTATCTATTTATTTATTTTTCTTTATTAATTTTTAGGGTTTACGACCTCAAGAGCGAAGGGCCCCTCTCTTTTCTCTTCAATTTTGAAAAAGAATCTCTTGTGGAAGGATCGCTTTTAAAACACTTTCATTCTAGACTCAAAGTCAGTCTCGAAACCCTAAACCCTAAACCCTAAACCCTAAGCCCTAAGCCCTATACTTGGATCACTTCTGAAACGCTTTCTTTCTAGACTTAAGGTAGGCCTCTAAACCCTAAACCCTAAACCTTTGCCGGGATCGCTTTCAAAACACTTTCATTGTAGACTCAAGGTGAACCTCTAAATCCTAAACCCTAAACCCTAAACCCTAAACCCTACACCTTTTGCAATCCTCTGTTCTTCTCCGAAGATCTTCTTCTCCCGCAGCTCCCCGTGGGATGCATTTATTCTGTTTTTGAATTTAAATTAATTAATTAATTAATAATTAATTAGATTAATTAAAATAATTATTTACTTTATTTATTTATTTATATTAATTTATCTATTTTAATTTATTAATTTTAACTTTTCAAGGCACTGCTCCTCGCGCTGCAAGTGACGGACTTGGAAAGGCTTTTGCCATTAACCCTCGTCGCGGACTTCTGCACCCTTGTGGGCACTTACTGGTAAACCCTAAACCCTAAACTCTAAACCCTAAACCCTAAACCGTAAAGTGTAAGCCGCAGTTCCTCAGTGGGTTTAGGGTCTCATCTGCAGCTTAGGAGGAGGGCGGCAGATATGCACCAAGTCCACTAGATGCTTGCTTGTCTAGGGTTTAGGGTTTAGGGTTTAGGGTTTAGGATTGCTTGTGGACAACTATATGAACTCTCGCTTGTTTGCGTGTGTCGCTTGGTGTGTGGCGAGCCGTCGGATGGGTGTCGCGGGGCGCTTCCCCAGGCCTGAGGCTTTAGGGTTGAGGGTTTAGGGTTTAGGGTTTAGGGTTTAGGGTTTAGGGTTTGCGGGCTGCAGGGACGGGTTCATCGTAATAGTGGACCCCTACCCCGAGGCCTCGGGGCTGCACGACCCGCTGCTGCAGCTCTGCTGTCTAGACGCCTCGCTGGCCATGCAGCAAGTTTTGTCTCGATTTAAATCTGTCATTTTAACATCCGGGACAATATCCCCTCTCGAACTATACCCCAAGATCCTCTCCTTCGTCGTAAACCCTAAACCCTAAACCCTAAACCCTAGGCCCTGCGTGCTGCGCCCCGGCGTGCGCCCGTGCCGCTCCCGCGACGCCCGGCTGCAGCAGCAAATGCGCCAGCTGCAGGTGCAGGTGCGGGCTTTTGGGTTTAGGGTGTAGGGTTTAGGGTTTAGGGTTTAGGGTTTGTGGCGGTGGTGCGCAGCCTCTCATTGCCGAGTCCTTCCCGGTCTCCATGGAGCGCGCGTGCTTCTGCCCCATGATTGTTGCCAGAGGAGCTGATCAGGTACTCAAACCCTAAACCCTAGACCCTAAACCCTAAACCCTAAGCCCTAAACCCTAAACCCTGGGCGCGCACTTGGATGCAGGCATGACTGCTTTTACACTCGGTGGGACCTCGGCTTCCGCAGTCTCCGTCAACGCGCCAAAAGACTCATCTATCGGGTTTAGGGTTTAGGGTTTAGGGTTTAGGCTGTTGGACTAGGGTTTAGGGTTTAGGGTTTAGGGTTTGCGCTTCATTGCACGTGCCGTTGCCCCCTAGGCGCTTAAGCAGCTTGCGCCCGGCTGTTTTTCTGAGCCCCGGGCTCC